CTCCCAGGTTGCAGCGTGAAAAAGTCTAAGGCCAATCGATCCCTTTGAAATCTTCACTATTTTGAATTTAAAATGTGCATATCACATCTAGGTACATCACGATGAAAGTAGGCAGATCTATTTTATTTGAAGAATTTATTTATTAATTAAATTTATTTACAAATTATGATCTAAAGAGTCTTCTTAGTTTTATAATAATTATGCTGAGTTTCATAATTTTAACAAATCTTCTTTTACAGAACCTATAATAAAAAAACGGGATGTGGCACCTCGGGCCACACATGCCAATGTATAGCTTTCTTATCGTCTATGCACGGCGCGATGGTTTTTGATTTAATTCAGTCCATTCATTTGATTTATTTTAATTTAATTTTGTAAAAAAACACGCATGATACTGTATGGTCACTCCACGTAGTGTTATGGTCGCGCGATCGTTACATTTTATCGTTTCAGTCCTTTTATTTTGGTCATACCGGTTCGCGATTCACCGCTACGGATGTCTGCGATAAGAAAGCTATGTTTAAATAAACTAGTCTATGATTTCTTGTATTATTTATAAAATTTAAAGTAAAATACAGTTTAAAAATACTTAATATGTTTTAATAACTCGTTATTTCTTCTTAAAAAAGTTCATTAGAGTAGGTTGGTTTTGCATATTATTTTTCTTGCCCTTTTTTACCCTTTCCGCCTTTCGGAGGGGATACTTCATTTTCCGAAGACGCACTATTTTTCTTTTCCACTTTAGGCTTTTCTAACGGCTCATTTTTAACTGTCTTAGCCGGTTCCTCATCTTCTGGGGCCGATTCATAAACATATTCAGTTTTTGTTACTAGAAATAAAAAATATTACATTAAAAATTATACTTCAGTCCCGTTTTCTGATTAATTTGAAAAACACTCTGTAAGAGACAAGAATACATATAACCTAGGCCTTCCTAAACTGTACGTCGCGACGCCCTGGGCGTCGCTGCGTAGTCCTAGTATTATTAAATGAACCAAATAAAAAAAAAGGACTGGCAACGCAACGCTTTTTTAATTATTAAATTGTATTTGCTCGTATATTAAACCCGATTTTTCGCGAAGTACAGAGTAAATCAATTATAACTAAAGTATAAATTAGAAAGTTAAGTAAGTAATCTTAGCACATAGTGAAAAATAGTAATCAAAACATTAAAAGTGTGTTCGAAATTGGCAAAAATACCAGGTAAGAATAAACACATAAGCAATAAAAACGTCGCCAATATTGGGAGGAACTTGGTTGAACCTTATTATAATTGATTGGGAAGCGGTGAAACAAAATATTTTTAATGAGCAGTGAAGATAAGGACAAATATAGTTTTCGAATTTCGATTTCGAAAGCAACGGACGAAAACGACAAGAAAAGAAAAGGAGATCAAGAGAAAGAGTTACAAACGTGCTTTCACAAAAGTCGCAAAATAGGGAGTTCTCCCATAAATAAAAAGGAGAAAATGGAAGAAAATGTACAAAAATTATGGAAATGAGGACAGGAGTGAGTATAAAGATAGAAGAACAATCAAGAGAACTCAGTGAAATTCGTAGAGAACCAAAAAAATATAGAAAAGAAATAAGACAGTTAAGACAAAATAATGTAACATTTAGAGAGGAAAACACAAAACTAAAAAAGGTAGTTTTTCAAATAGAAGAACGGATTGAAAGTTTGGAAAAAGTAAAAAGGCGTAAAAATATAGTTATACAAGGCCTGAACATAGATACAAATGTCCCAGAGACTCTAAAACATGAAATAAAAAAATTTATGCAGATAGAATTAACAGTCGATGTTCAAATCGAGAAGGTTGTGAAGCTGGAAGAAAAAGTCTGTCTGGTTGATGCTTGAAAAGGAAGAGGACAAAAGAAAAGTCATGCGAAACAAAATCAAATTAAGAAGCCGAAGAAAAAGTCTAGTTTATATATATATATATATATATATATATATATATATATATATATATATATATATATATAATATAGAAATATAAGACAGAAATTCTTGATACCTCTTTAAAAATATGTTTACACAGCACATGCTATCATTGAAAGAAAACTTTGAGAAACATTTTCCTATTAGTTTCTCATGATTATCATGCCATCAGCACTGCTGCATTAAAGGTTTTATTACCATTTATTACCATTTGCGACTTCGGACTTTCAGTTGCAGTAAATGCAGTACATGTCAAACATAAATTTAGAAAAAGAAATAAGAGTAGCAATTTCCAAACTGGAGCCCCGGTTTCATAGGCTGTGCTCAAAAAAGCAAGCATCTCCCTTTACATTTTTGTGCCTATGTTTTGATTTCGTTCTTAATTTCTAATAAAAAATATATATGTTCAAATAGTGTTTTTATTATAACTATAACCTTGTTACTAGGCTAGTACTAAAATTGGTAAGTATTATTGGGGGTCGGGTTGAGGGGGCGTCGCAAAAAATAGCAAAGTCCCAAGGGGGTCACAGTACGAGTAAGTTTGGGAAGCCCTGTTATAACCTATTGAGTCATATAGAAATATCTTTATGGCTTTTATCCATGCCAGTTGGCCCACCTTATGGAATTTGCAGTTTATGGAGATTATCATAAACAAATCATAATCTACATGCTTTTATGAGTTTCCATATTAATCAATATAGCATTTTTGTTATTATTTTTATTAAAAACATTACCCTTATGTTTTTTATTTATTTTATATACATTTATATATGATGTATGTAACAGTTTTATAACAATAAGAACAAAAGTTTTTACGCTAAGTCATGCCTGTTCATTCACTTATAAGGTTTTAAAATTATTACCAGATACAGCACATTATTTTTTTTTGTTTAAATTGTAACCTCTCTATAGCTTTTTGATTATAACTTTTTCAATTAAACTATTTTTAAATAATGGTTTAATGTTAAATCTTTTATTAATAATTGTTACAGGCCATTCGCGTTCTGACTTTTAGTCCGACTAGTGTTCTAACTTCTGCAGTTGGATCTGAAATCTGACCGTGAGTGGGATTAGTTGGATAACTAGTGGTACGAGTCGGAACATCTATGGGACGATTTGAAGGTCCGACTTCCGACTGGCGACGAAGTCGAGCGTGAATGGTGAAGTTGGAAGTCGATACAGGTCGGATCGAAAATTTCGTCAGTCAGTTGACCTTCCGCACCTATTTGTATGAGATTTCTATGAAATACTTTATGCAAAGATCTCTAGTTCGCAAATATTTAATGAAAAATAAACTTTCAATTGCACGAAAATACCTTTTTGTTAGGGCAAATCATTTTCCTTTCTGTAGATCTATTTCGGACATTCCCATACAGGTACAATTTCCAACACTCCGGATTGGCTACGGAAGAATTATCAACAAAAAACTAAAATTAAATCATAGTTGTACTGAAATTAGAGGTAACTGTTTCCTTATTTTTTGAAGTTATTTTCTTGTGGCATCTTATGCAATTTACTATTTAATTGGAAATAAGCCTGAATATTAGTTACAAATTAAATTTATTTCACGTTGAACTGAAGTTGAACCGTTAGTTGGATAGCAAGTCGGAGCGTGAGTGGAGACGAATATCCAACTAGTAGTCCTACTATGTGGGACTGCAAGTCGGAACGTGAATGGCCTACTTTAACAGTTAACAGCATATTATTGTTTTTGTTTAAATTATAAGCTCTTCTTACCTTTTTGTGTACAACTTTTTTAATTAATGTTTTTTTTTCAAATGATGGTTTAACGTTAAATATTTTATTAATAATTTTTATCACAGGGAACCATGATTAACCGTAGATCTATCACAGAGGAAGTAAAAGTAAACAGTTGTGCAGCCAACAACACATTCGCACTTCTATCCAAAACAGACTCACTGCAATGATGAATTTTGCAATTAAGTGTAATCCATCTAATCTGCAAATATGTAGCAATATGGCGGTTTTTAACGTTCTTCCAAAGTATACAGCAATACAGCAAATACAACATTCCACTGTTGTACATTTGGCGATGCATCTGGAGGCAGTCAGCAAATTTATTTAACTCCATCGTTGCCAAAGCGATCCATTTGAACGAATGTTACGCTACTCTGAGATCCCACGTAGAATTGGTTATTATACTTAGACCGCTTCATCAAAGAAATCTTAATGTAGGAAGCAAGGCGAAGCAGTGACGAATGCTTCTTGTGGTTTGTGTGTTGGTGAATGTTTATGAGCCGATATAATTTCAATTACATACTTAAAACTATCAAAGGTGTAGAGTGTCCACCATTTAGTGCTGCATGTCAACAGCATAATTTGCTTGAAAACGATAATCATTGGGACATGACAATCGCTGAAGTAATAGACAAGCAATTTCCAACAAAATTCAACCACAATTTTGTCCCGTATGTCTTGAAAGATGAAATCAAGGTTTCCTGAGGAAATTTCCGTGAAAACTGAATTTTCAATTCGTAAAGAAAATCTTTTATAAAATTTGTTTCTCCCTTATACCATTTTACGAATCGATAGAGGAGTATTGATTCTATTTCTAAAAATTTTGGCATAATGGCTAATGGTTCACTAAGGGTGTTAATTATGAGCTAAAACATATAATGTTAATAGGTCAATATCCGTGTTTTTCTCCTTCATGTTCCTTAAAAGTTTGATTGTTTGTAAAAAGGAACAATTTTATTTTGGAAAAGTTACAGAAAATTAGAAAATTCGATTTTCGAAAAAACGCATCCTGATCCAACTCAAATTTTCTATTTTTTTGTGCTTATCTCAGATGACATTTTTAGTACACAAAGAGGAATAAGAGATACAATCGTGGTTGAACTTCTTATTGAAATCCGACGGTCTACAATTTATTCTACATATCCAAGTCAAATACGCTCATTGTTTGCGATACACCTCTGTGTATATGTGTCTAAAGACATCCGAAAATATTCTCGAAATTTATCAGGATGCACAATTAGTGCAAATTAGAGCAAATAAATGATGAAACTCTCCAAATGTCGTCCTTTCTCTATTAATTAATGAACCCATTTACGTTTTCTATTTAAACACTTTTTGAAAGTACTTTAACAATGAATTTTCCGCCAATAAATATTTCAGTTTTCTTTCCATCGTCACGTCCGACACAGAAAATATGGCGCTTACAGCAGAAAATATGTGCGACTAGCTCACAAGCATATCATTGTATTGAAACAGGCACAGATAATAGCTTGCTATGTAACGGATAGCATAGCAAAACATCGCAGCGCTGATACCGCCATAGCAGTCTATGTGAACGTACACTAATTGTCAGGATCTCGATTACGAAGCTATTAAACGAAGATTTTACAGAAACATGGCCTAATGCACGTTATCCGAATCGCAATTACATGGTGGATTTAGTAAAAAAGTTTGAACGAACCGGTAGTGTTGAAGATGCAAAGCGTAGTGGCCGACCACGTTGAGGCGCATAGATCAGAATAACATAGCAGTCGCGCAACAATTCGTTGAAAACATTCGCCTCTCCGCCAAAAGGACATCGATCGTTAAAGCTTGACACACCATCTCGCCCGTTTTGAAGAATTATAAAAAATATTGTTTTTTTTTTCGGAAACCGCAGGACTTCCAGCCGCACAATGTAAGATTAATGGCAGGCTAAATAAGTACAACTATGTTTATTGGCCGATGATCATCCTCACGATGTGGAAAAGAAAACGAATTCTCCTAGAGTTTGGGTAGGAATTAATTAACGAAAGATTCTTTGTCCCCTTTTCTTTCGACGGGTCCATTATTGCATGTAGGTACTTGGAGCTTTTGCAAGAATTACGTGTATCTTTGGATGCAGATAACATATCCGAAGAATGAAACATCATTTTACAGCAAAACGGCGACCCTGCGAATTTTGGTTTTCAAGTTAGCGCTTTCTTAAACCAGCATTTTCTGAATGGATCGGTGGAGGTGAAAACGGTCCGTGGACTCCAAGATCGCTAGACATTACTCCTATATAGTTTATCAATCTGGGACATGCCTCATCAAGGTCGCCAGACACAGGAATATTGGCAGTTGATATTGACCCTAATGTAACATCACAAAGTACAAAATCATTTAGTCCAATTACAAAACTGGCTTAAGCGATGGAAGATCAGTGTTAATGCTAGCAAATCAATACAAATTACTTTTACAACAAGAAAATCTGCATTTCCACAAGTTTATATTAATAATACTCCCATTCCTATAAAACCAGTTGTCAAATACTTGAGATTGGTGTCAAATACATTAAAACTAAACGGAAACAATTAGATCTTAAACTAAAAAATATGAACTGGCTATTTAACAAAAGGTCTCAATTATCTCTTGAAAATAAACTGCTTCTGTCAAAGCTATACTCATACCAGTTTGGGCATATGGAATAGAACTATGGGCTGTAGTAAACTTCAATACGAAGATTACTTAAAACATTCCAATCCAAAATACTACGTATGATAGTATGATAGGTAAGTATGGTATGTATCTCACTAAACACTTCACAATGATCTGAACATCCCATTACTTAACGACATAATAAATAATCCCCAATAAAATATAAAAATCGCATCATTGATCACAACAACGAACTGATACAGATTTATTCACCCACCCACTTGTCGAAAGAATATTGAAGAGAGTAAGTCCAGAAGATCTATCGCAATAATACATAGAGAACAGTCACTGGACGATACTTAACTCACTTTAATTTACTATAGACTATTTACTTATTACTGTGTGCATAGAGTAGATTGTAAACATGCAATGTAACAATAAAAAAATTATTAATTTGATCGAAAAACAGTATTTGAAGTGTATTGAGAAGAATGGTGAACATTTTGAACATGTATTGTAAATACATATTTTTGCGTTGTAAGGAAATAAAATCAAAGTTTCGTAAAATTGTTTTTTTTTTCAAAAATTGTTTTTTTTTTGAAATTTGCTAGTTGACTTATGCAATGCTTTCAAAAAATGCTACGATAAGCTAATGAAACTAACTGCCGATAAACAAGAAACTTTGCTAAACAATGTTTCTGCAGAAGAGCTCCCCAAGCAATTGCTGGCTATCAGTCAAGGCCATAGTCCTGTCGAATGGATGGTTTGATTTTATTTCCGCCGAATTTTTGCCATTTCGTCTCAACGAAAGACTAGCTCATTAATAAGTGTTCCCAAACATCACCGCTAAACACAAAAATCACAATTGGTTGAGAGAAAGAACAATTTTAGCAGCAATGAACAAGGATATAGATATAAGTCATCTATATAATCTATATAATTATTAAGTTTAATTCAAAATAAACTCGTTAGTCCACTGCATTCTTTCAAATTGATTGATTGTTCCAAAGTACTTTTCTATAGAATGAGGCAAATATGTTCCATAAAATTTTGGTTGTAAAGATATTTCAAGGGCAGTAATAATATTTGTTTACAATTATTATACGGTTCTTGTTTCTTCTGAATGATTCAAGTTGCACTTGTTTTAGAGAGAAAAAGATAACATATAAGATAAAAGAGCATTGAATGAGTTTGAAGTTGGACTTCAGATTTTAAATTTTTATTAAAATTACCGATTTTTAAGCAATTAAAAATATTTTACGCTTTCTAACTCATAATTAAACAATTCAGCTGTTATTAGGTACCGAATAATCTCAAAACACATACAAAAAATAATCTATCTTTTTATATAGACAAGAATTAAAGAGGTAAAATCATATCTTACCAATATATCCCTCTTCATCCATATAGGTCTTATCAACTGCTTTTCTTATTTTGTTTTTGGGAGCTAAAGGTTTCTTTGCTACTGGTGATGGAGCACGTTCAGGTTCTTCATCAGACTTTTCTACAATATCTTCTTCATCATTCTCAAACATATCTAAAACAAACAAGTTATTTGAAAATATACTATGTCAGACAATACGGAGATTTTCTGAAAAAAGATAAGACAGAACTGAAAATTATCTGTTGGAAAAGTTATCAGTTCCTTGAGTCTAGCTATAATAACTGTGCATCCCAACTGCCACCTAGACTGTTTGGCTATCTGACAGACTAAGTAATGATAAAAATGGCAAATAAAACAATCAAGTTGAAAAGGAGAGGAAACAAAATATGTAATGATATCAGAGAAAGAGAGAAGAGGGAATGAGAAAGTTTTTACCATTATTTATCATTTGTTGACTGGATATTTAACAAAATAATTTTGTGATAATTTTCTTTACATATATTTGCAAATTGTCATTTGCAAAAAAATTTGGAATGTAAAGAATCACAACTTTCATGTCACACTATAAAACTATTCTTGGAAACCACACACAACAGAATAAATTATAAATTAATTCTAAAGAGTTTTTTGTTTCTGCTTAAATTTGATTTAGTTTGTTGGTTTGGTTAAAAACATTTTTAATAGTAAATGTTGAAAAATAATGTAAAAGAACATTGAATACATTCAAGTCAAATAAAGTGTCGAGCATAGTATACTTTATGTAAAAGAAACCTTAATTTGGACATTTGTATTGAAAACATAGATTTTAATTTCTCAGCAAATATAGAACAAGTAAACATACACTAAATATTATGAATTCCTTTTAGGTATTTGGATTTAATGCTTATGGTTATTTTGAGGAATTTATATTTGAAATGAAAAACAAATAAATATAACGAAAACATGCATGAGATGCTCAGATAGATAAAATTTTGTCGCATGGGATGTATAGGGCATATACAGAGACACCCTCACTCAGATATACTGAGATGTATAACTAACTGGACATCACTATGGCCCAGGTGTAGAAAAAGGCCTAGAAGAAGATATCTGGATGATTTAGAAGATTATATAAGAACAATGAATATTAAAGACTGTAAAATTCAGTGCAAGGACAGGAAGAAATGGTAAAGAGTCACGACAGCAGCAAAGACAAACAGCAAGCTATAAATTTCATAGAGGAATAATCCGCCCCATCCAAGAATAGGATTTTGAATGCCTTGGCGTTAGCTATGATCCCTAGGGATTGTAAAGCTTAATGAATGATATAACAAATAAAAAAAAACTTACCATCACTCTCAGAATCCATTCTTTCAACAATCCTTTTCCTTTTCTTAACAGATTTTTCTTGACTTTTTTCTCGCTCCCTCTTATTTTTATTTTTTTTATTCTTCACATCTGATTTCTTTATATTATTTTTTCCCTCATCTTTGACAACTTCCTGTTGCCCTTTCTTTATGTCAACATTGGACTCATTTTTAATTTTTTTACTATCTAATTTAAATTCTTCACTACTTTCTTGAAAGTCAACTTCCATTAATTCTTCTAATTCACTAGGTTGACTGCTACTGATTGTTGAATATTCCTTTTTGATTCCATTTTCACTCTTTATACTTGAACTGGATGAAGTTTTTGAAAAGAATGCAGAAAGTCCTCCCTTGGGTTTAGTATTTGTAGTGGATTTTTTGTCTGCTTCTTTTTCTTTATTATTCTGTTTTTGCTAAAAAATACATAAAATAAAAATAACAGTACAATTGATAGAAATAAAAAAGGAGAGAGAAATAGCGAAATATATTTTTATTCTCTGAAATATTACTACTGAAAAATCTTTTAGCGATAAATAATGGTTTTCCAAAGAGAAATCTCTCTTTTACTCTACATTGTTAAAATGTAAAGAAATACAAACCATAAATAAATGGTCCTTTGTTTGGTTTTTTTGTTTATGGCAGGTACCTCTTGCCAAAAAACTTAATGCCACCACTCAATACAAATAACTCTGTAATAAGCTTAAAATAAGGCATTCTGCAATAATTTTTTAGCAACTATACCTCTACAGTTTGAAGAAAAATAAGTTAACGACTATAAAAACTTGCTGACAATGTAAAGATGCCATTGTAAAACCTTTACAACTCGATTATTTTTATTACTTCTATAGCTTGAAAAAAAAAATAAGTTACCAACAAGAAGTTACTAAGAATTTTCGGATAATATAAATACACCATTGTCTCTTAGAAAACAATTTGGGAGTATACAATACATAGCATACCACCTAAGACATTTATGACTCACATTAACATGTGCTTGTTTGCTTGGTGTCAGGTATTTAATAGTATTACTTTTGATTTCATTTGAATTGAAGGAAGTCATTTGTTGTCGATTGAAAAATTGTCAGAAGTATTCTACCGCAATACACATCAATTTGTACAACAATTCACAAATAAAATTGTTAAAACATGAGTGATGTGAAACGTAAACTAAGGACTTCAAGTCCCGCTGAAAAGTTAGAAGTACTCAAACTTGTCAAAAGAAGAATGATGTTGCTGAACAATTCGGCCTACCAATGAGTACTTTGTCAACGATAATAAAAAATAAATCAAAATATCATGAAAAAAAATTCAAAATGGTCCAAATTTGTCCTGTAAAAAGAAGACAAATTGCAGAATCTCTGGGCTTGGATGAGTGCTTGCTTAAATGATTTGAGCAGTATTGGAGCCAAAATATCAGTGCTAGTGGACCACTGTTGCGAGAAAAAGCCAAAATATCCTCTAAATCATTGGAAGTGGCTAATTTCAGGTTCTCTAATAATGAATGAATAGAAAAGTTCAAAAGAAGACATGAACTTGTTTTTAAAAAAGTTTATGGGAAAAGTGCAAGTGTTAACATTGAAACCTGTAACAAATGAAAAAGTGAAATGCAAGATTTGTTACATGGTTAAAAACCTGAGAATATCTTTAATGTTGACGAAACAGGACTATTTTTAAATGTCTACCTGATAAGATCCTAACTTTTAAAAATGATAAATGCCATGGTCGGAAGCAAAGCAAGGAACATTTGACTATTCTGCTAGCAGGAAACATGTAGGACACAGAAAGCTCTCCATGAGTGATTGGTAAATCTAAAAAACTTAATTGTTTTTTAAGATGCCAATCACTACCTTTGAAATATGAAACAAATACAGAAACATGGACGACTTCTGCTATGTTCAAAAACTGGCTCATAAATGTTGATAAGAAAATCGATCAAAGAAAAAAGAAAAATATTGTTATTGATTGATAATTGTACAGCCCGTTATGATATTCCACAAATGAAAGCAGTTAAAATCCAATATCTGCCTGTCAATACCACATCATAATTATAGCCTATGGATCAATGTATTATTAAAAACTTCAAATTATTATATAGAAAGAAGTTGTCACGAACATGTTGGACAATACAAAAGAAAAATAATTCTACTATAGATGTATTGCAAGCCATGAGAATGGCTTATATATATGGCTGAGGAGGGTAATTGGTTTGTAATTCTCTAAATTTGCTTTGTCTCCTGCTTTGTGTACATAGAATCATAGTAGGTTGTTCCAGCCTGTTGGAATATTGGCGCTGTAAAGGCAGATATTGAAACATTGTTTAATTTTTTCAAGTAATACATCCCCTCCAATTTTTAGTGCTTCTGATACTATTCCATCTTCACCCGGGGTTCAATTATTTTTCATTTTCTTCAGGGCTTCTTTGATTTCTGATTTTGTTATATCAGACATTAAATCTGATCCTTGGTTTAATACCCCAGTTTTTAGTGTAATTGAAGTTTCCGTATTGTTAGCTTTTTTTCTTAATCTATATAACTCTGTGTAGAACTCTTCGACTATTCTTAATATTTCATCTCTGTTCGTTGTTTCTTCTCCAGTTCTGTTTCTCAGTTTGTTAATTTCTATTTTCCCCTTTTGTACGCTCCTCTTCAAAACTTTCATGTTCTTATTTTGCTCTATTGCCTGTTTTGTTTTTTTCTACATTGTAGTTTCTTATGTCTTTTCTTATTGCCTTTGTGATCGTCTTATTTATTTTATTTATCGCTTCTTTGCTTGTAGTGTTATCTCCTTTCATTTGTCGCCTTAGTTCTATAAGGGTTTTCGTGGGTTTGACTCAGTTTTTCATCTTTTTTGCTTGTCGGACAATATTTAGTTTGAGCTGTTGCATTGTGTTGACTATTTGTTTGTTCAATATATTGATGTCTGCTGTTGTTGTATCTTTCAATGAATTACCAATATATTTTTCGAACTCCTGAATGTTAGTTGGTTTTGTCCATTTCTTTATTTGTTTCTTATTTATCATTTTGAGTCTTTCTTTTTCGGTTGATATCGTTATTTTAGCTCTTACTAATCTATGATCACTGATTGTACTGAACTGGTTTAGTACATTTACGTCTTTAAATAATTCTTTTTTGTTTGTTAAGAAATAGTCGATTTCATTTCTTGTTTTTCCATCAGGACTTTCCCATGTCATCTTCTGTGTTTTTTCTTTTTTAAAGAAGCTGTTCATTTGATATAGATTGTTTTCCAAAAGGAAAGTCAGTAGTTGTTTGCCTCTATCATTTCTGCCTTTGATTCCAAAATTTCCCAATATTATTTCAGAGGGGTCTTCCTTAGTGCCTATTTTGGCGTTGAAATCACCACCTATTATCAAGAAGTGGCCAGGATTTTCCTTGATTGCACAGGATATTTGGTCGTAGAATATTTGGACTTCTTCGTCTGGATGTCCTGTAGTAGGGGCATACACTTGAATGAACTTTAAGATATATCTGGCGTTATTTTGATGTGAATTCTTTTGTGAATAAAGAAGCCGACGCCTCCGACTGTCGATTCCTCTTCTTTGTAATAAAATAAATGGCCTGATGGGAGTGATGTAAGACTCTCTCCATTTTTCTAACTTTTCTGATACTTACAATATCCCAGTTCACTTTGAGAGTTCTTCCTCCATTTCTTCAAATCTTTCTTTGGTAGAGAGTGACCGAGGCATCGGGGGTGTTGACTACAGACTGTATGGCTCGTCCCGCATGCCATAGCATGAATGGATGGGGTGCACGCCATTTTACAATGTACTTACTTTACTTTATCGTGTCCGGTCATTCATAAAATTTTCGGCCCAGTATCGGGCTACGTCGGTTCCATCTTTGTTGGCGAGCCACAAATCTTCAAGGGTACATCGATGAGGACAGTTTCTGCATGTAAGAAGATGTTTCCATATTCTGTGTTTCTCCACAGTCACAGTTCACATCATGTTTGTCTATTTTTCCCCATTTTGCCATGTTTGATTTTACTGTTACAATGTTGTCTGTAGGTTAGGGACGGTCCAGAGCTACTCCAAGTTTTATAGGTTGATTTGTGTGTTCTAATGCATTACCATTCCACACAATTTTGAGTTTTCGCTTGGCTTCCTTTGTGCGAAGGTGGAAAGCGCAGACTTGGGTTTTAGAGGGATTGGGTCTCAGAGAATTCTGCAGGTAGTACGCTGTCATTGTTTTTAAGGCAGTTTTCGAGTTTCTCCTCCACTTCTTCAAAACTATTTCCTTGAGCACATATTGCAAAATCGTCAGCATAGAGGAAGTGCTTGGTTTCGGTCGGAGTAGGTTGGTCGTTTGTGTATATATTGAAGAGCAATTTTACAATGTACACACCCCAAACTCCATGGCCTGACACCTATAGCAGAATGAAATAAAGTGGTGTCTGAATCAAGAATATTTTTTGAGGACTTTGTTACTTGGGCTGATGGAGTTACAACTGCTTGGATATTATCTAATGACAAAATTATCAATTCAGTAGCTCATAAAACAGATACTAATGATTTAGATGACATAGAAGACATAAATGATATGACATGCGCTCCATGGGTTTCCATCAAAGAGGCAAATTGAATACTTTACGGCATTTTATAGAGTAAAGCAGCAACTCTGAAGAAAGAGAATTTGTTACTCTTTATACCTTAGACAATGCTGTAGGTAGGGAACAACGGAATTATCTATATCAAAAATTAATGACTTTTTTTAATACCATATTCTTGTATTTTAAGGATGTTTTGAAATAATATTGATTTATAATAAATAAAAATGTTTGTTACCCTTATACCCTGAATGTTTAAGTTATTTTAACTCTTAAAGTTTTTATTTGTTTTGATATTAAATCCTTAAATCTTTTCCAAAAAATCAATTTACTTAATAATTATTAAAAATTTTTTTTATTAAAAAATCCTTTATAAAAGGTATATATTTAAATATATACCTTTAAAAGTATATACTTTTAAAGTTTTAATACCTTTTATAATGGAATTTGTATACGCACTCAGAACTTGTTCTTTTGGATAATATTATAGTTCAAGAATGATTTCTGCATTGGAAATGACAAATATGTAATTTTATTAACAAATAGTTATGGAAATACATATTTTTTTAAAGATCAATAGGATGGGATCACTTTAGAGACCCAGATCAGTAATCTGGTTCTTGGGTTACTTGTATGTTTGCTGAGTTTACTATGGTCATAAAAATGGACTTCACTATAAATTAATAAATAGATACTGGGAGATTACTGACCATACCTTAGTGATCCGAAGGGACATTTAAATAGGTAAAAAGTGTGTCAAATCATATAACATAATAAGTGATTAATTTAGATATACCTAACAGTTGTTAGCATACAAAAATAGGTAGGTAGTGTAAAGATCCAGATCATTTGTGAAAAACCCATTACTGTCCCAAAATATATCAGTGTTTAACAGTAAATGCAATAAATTGATCAATTAATTACCTTTGGTTCATCCTTGGATGAAGATGATTCTTCCGATTTCAGAGAAGTATTTGAAGATGTTTTAGGTAGGAAAAAGGAAGACTTTCCTTTAATTGTACTTGGTGGAGGGGGTGGGAGCTTCTTTACCTTTAGTGTTCTCTTTATACAATGTTTACTTACAATAGAACCTAATCTGAAACATATTCCATTTTCTATCAAGATATTTATACAAAAAAAATAGTGATATTAAAAACTTACAGTGGTGATTCAGCAGCTTTAGTTACATCATACACCAATGATAAGCTATTTAAATCAATTTCTTTACATTTCTGTACACTAAACAAAGTTTCGCTTTCAACCTTATCAAACAGAGATCTTTTTTCGTCTAAATCAGTTTCTTTAACAATAATAACTGCATTTCCTTTGCCATGTAAAACACCTGTTAAAACATAAGTAACAGCCAGCTGTTTCGGGTTCAATTTTCTCTGATCCTTTACATATTTAGCTAGTAGATATTTTGCGTCTTGAATTGATACTTTCAGATCTCTAGCTAGTGCTGGTAATGTAACCTAAAAGCATCCAAGTTATTTGTGAATAAAACAGTCAGGTATTTAATATTGTAACTTACGGATTTATCATCATCCTGAACATATTCTTGTAGACGTTGAAAGTATATTTCCTCTGTAGCACTGTCCATCATGCTGTTTTAATTTTATCAACAAATTGACTCTTGTCAAAAACATCAAAATAGAAATTAAAAAAATCAGCGCCAAAATTGTAATTCTAAGTGACAGTGACAGTTGTTTGTTGTTCCTTTTCTTCTAACGATTAGGGTATGCACCTTGATTGTATTTAGTTACTTGAGCTTGTATGAAATCTAAGTAACTTGTAAACTTATAGTTACCGTTTAGTTTTTTTAATGATGAGTATGAATAATAAAAGGATATATAATTCAAAAATTTAAGTTTATATTTAAATGCTATTCACTATAATGCCTATAACATATTATACATAGTTTACACAAAACTATTGTAATGCTGACTGCCTAATTTAAGTCGTTAATATTAATTTAAATGTAAAATAAGATAATAATAGATGAGTTATGATATTGTTAATCTAAATCATATATCATAATTTCCCAAAATATAATGTGTTGTAATAAAATATACTATCTGTATCATTGAGACATTAAAATAATATTTAATTAAATTAAAATTTAATTTTTTATTTGTTTTAGACAATATGACAAAAAATAACAAAGAACCAGGATAGGAAGGAATCGTTAATAGAAGCTATCGTAAATGGAGGAGATATGCTATTAAATAAATTAAGGAAACTATTCAATCTATGTTTGCAGCAAAGAGAGGTGCCCAAAGAGTGGAACAATGCTACAACCATCCTTTTGCATAAAACAGGAGATAGAACGGACCTAGAAAAATTATAGACCTATTAGCCTGTTGAACCACATATACAAGCTCTTCACTAGGGTAGTGACATCAAGATTGGAGAAAAAATTAGATTTCTACCAACCGAGAGAGCAGGCAGGATTCCGCTCAAATTATGGTACCAATGATCACCTCCACACAGTAAAGACACTCATTGAAAAATCTATAGAATATAACAAACCTCTTGTTCTCACTTTCATAGATTTTCATAAAGCGTTCGACACGATCGAATTAGACAGCCTTATAGAAGCAATGAATGACAGCAGGATTGACCATAGGTATAGTGAGCTTATTTATAATATTTACAAAAATGCCACTATGACTGTTAAAATAGACAATAAAACCCGACCAATAAAAATAAATCGTGGAAGGGATACATTGTCGCCGAAATTATTCATAACGGCATTAGAATATGCCTTTAAGATGATCAATTGGGACCACAGAGGAGTAACGATAGACGGCGAAAAGCTTAACCATCTCCGTTTCGCAGATGACATTGTCCTTATCACAGATAATTTTAGGAGAAGCTACAGATATGTTAAACGAATTGGATTTTGCATGTTCGAAGGTGGGCCTGAGAATGAACTTGACCAAAACTAAGTTTATGACAAATTTGGTCCCCAATAACCATTTGACTATTCAAGACAAAGTGGTAGAACTGGTGGAGAAATATACGTATTTGGGTCATGAAATAAGAATCAGCAGGGATAACCAAACATGTGAGATCCAAAGACGAATTACTTTAACATGGGCAGCCTTTGGAAAACTGCGAGACACACTTAGGGCCAACATACCAATCAGCCTCAAAAGAAAAGTGTTTGACCAATGCGTATTACCGGTCATGACCTATGGGGCGGAAACTATGACTTTAACCAGACCACGGCTTCGAAACTGAGAGTGGCACAGAGACGAATGGAACGGTCTATGCTGGGAGTGACGTTGAGGGACCGAATAAGAAACGAAGATCTGCGAAGAAGGACGAGTATTAATGATGTTGTGGAACGCATAGCGGAACTAAAATGGAACTGGGCAGGCCATGTAGCCAAAATGCACGATTCACGATGGACGAGCAAAATTACAAATTGGAGGCCAAGAGCAGACAAACGCAATAGAGGAAGACCACCTACACGTTGGGCCGACGACATCAGGCGTATCACTAAAAATTGGCAACAAAGAGCACCAAAATCGTGAGGAATGGAGGAGTTTAAGGGAGGCCTATGTCCAGCAGTGGACGTGATAAATAGAGGCTGGATGATGTGATGAGACAATATGACAACTGAAGAAAACTCTCTTCTTAATTCTTAAAAAATGTTCCTAAATTGTATTCTTGTGGCATGTCTAAGTTAACTATTGGGAGAGGGGA